GACATGAGCCGGCAATGTGCGCTGGCAGCCCAGAAGGCCAACCGTACTCTGGGCTGCATCAGGAGAAGCATGACCAGCAGGTTGAGGGAGGTGATTCTGCCCCTCTACTCTGCTCTGGTGAGGCCTCACCTGGAGTACTGCACCCAGCTCTGGAGCCCTCAACACAAGAAGGACATGGAAGTGTTGGAGCAGGTCCAGAGGAGGGCTACAAAAATGATCTGAGGGCTGGAGCACCTCTCCTATGAGGACAGGCTGAGGGAGTTGGGCTTGTTCAGCCTGGAGAAGAGAAGGCTGCGGGGAGACCTGATTGCAGCCTTTCAGTACCTAAAGGGGGCCTATAGGAAAGATGAGGACAATCTTTTTAGTAGGGCCAGCTGTGTCAGGACAAGGGGTAATGGTTTTAAACTAAACCAGGGTAGGTTTAGACTAGATAGAAGGAAGAAATTCTTTACAATGAGGTGGTGAAACACTGGCACAGGTTGCCCAGAGAGGTAGCAGAGGCCCCATCCATGGAAGCATTCAAGGCCAGGTTGGATGGGGCTCTGAGCAACCTGATCTGAGCGGTGTCCCTGCTCACTGCAGGGGGGGGTTGGACTAGATGACCTCTAGGGGTCCCTTCCAACCCAAAACATTCTATGATTCATCCTTCAGTTTGTCATTAATTTGCCTTTCCCCCCCAAAGTATTTCATTATGTTCTTGTAACTGCAAACACAGAGGTACCCAGATGAATCTATTCACGGAAGTTTGGAAAGGGAGTATTTGGGGCTTTAGCTATGATTTTTGACATCCTTTCCTCAATTCAACGCTCAACTTCCTGATGTGTCCATAAGAGTCCCATAAAAGACTGAGGGAAGAGAACTGAATACACTCAGAGGAAGAGCACTGAGTATACTCAGAAGTATATTTTTTTCAGTTTAAAATATTTTTCCTGAAAAACGCTCCTACAAAGCCCATGCGCCCTTTAAGATCTGTTAAACAGTGGTTGTTGGCCTACTAAAATTTTGCCACCTCAAGGGCTGGGTTGACATTCACAAAGCCTATCAACATTAACAGCTGCTATGTTGTGTATAAAATAAAGTTACAACACACATCTTAACACCCAGCATTCTCCAGACCAAAACAAACAAATGATACCAGTGCAAGACTGGCAACCTTGGTTTATGATGTAGTGCTATTGGGACAAATTCTGCCCTGAGTTATTCCATTCTAGATCCATAGTAATGTCATTTAACTGACCTAAGCCAAGGAGAGGCCAATTTACTGAAATTAGTTGGACTTCTACCAGTTTAAATGAAAGCAGAATCTTTAATTTGCAATTGAATTATCTTCAAAGAACTGAAGAAAAAAAGCCCTGCAAATGAGTAACACTTCCTATTGCCAGGTTGGCTGTTCCATTTTAAGTAGCAAAATGAGTTTTACTTCAGTAATCTACTCTTGAGCAGCTGTTTCCTGTTACAGGGATGTTGCCATGGCTAACAGGCAAACATTTTTCTCCTCATACCTCACCAAAACTATTTTCTATTTCAAACCTTTTCTTGATAATGAAATAACATACCAAATCAACATGCTATCAGTTCTGCCAAAGAAATCCATATACTTCCATAACGCAACCACGGAACTAAAGATAAAGCAATCCTTCCCAGCATATAAATCATCATGAATACAGGTCAGTATATCTGACCTCCCATCTACAGAAGTGTATGTTTCCAAATATGTTTGGTGGTAGGCATATGTTGTAAATTTCAGAAGATTAATCTATTTCAGACACTTGTATGTACTTGGACCAAGTCCTTGGCTTAACTAAAAGTCTTCCCTACATTTAGTACTTGGAGAAATGATCTATTTTTAAAAGATTTCTACATCTGACTTACTTGCCCTAATGGCAATACACCGAATTGCCATATGGAAGATACAGGTTTGACATCTTAGGTCATCTCCCGGTTAACACTGCTGGATGCACTCCTACCCATTCAACTCTATTTGGAAGAGCAACAAATGCAATAGAGAGATTTGCTGAAATATAATGTAAGCTTGTAACTTCAAAAAAGTTCTGAAAATGTTCCCCCATCTCCTCCAAGAAAAAAGGAACAGCTATGAGCTATTACTTCAGTAAAATGATATTCTATGTCATTATGACACAAATTAACAGGATATCTTTAACAGCAATTCAAGCAAAATTAACTACCATCAACATTAATGACAGTTACCCACACGTGCAAGTGAACCAACATACCTACACGTGCAAGTGAACCAACGTACCCACACGTGCAAGTGAACTAATGTGTTAGCTGTAATGCTGTAATAGATGCTGTAAAGCAATCCCCTTGATACATTCAGAAAATACAAGGAACTGATTGTAAAAATGCAACTGCATCAAAGGATACTTCCATTCTACGAGACTAATGCAGGCTCTTCGTATTGGGTTATTGAGGGATAAACAGAAGAGGGCACGGGGTGGCCGACTATTAGACGTATTACCCTGTTTTTTGCTCTTGGCATATTGCTGGCGTTTTCTTTGGGACAGAGATCCTACCGGCTGGGCTGTGGTGGTACTCATATTTTGGGCAGCCTTTGCTTGTCTAGCAGCATCAATTGCAGCTTGCCAAGATAGAACAGTCTGCTTGGATGGTGCTGAACTGTTTGACTGAATAGCTGGTCCGTCACCAGGGAGAGGAATTCTGGTGCTACTTGCATAGTTCACCTCTGTGAACAAAAGAAAAAAATATCTGGTTATAATTTTTTGTGCTAAAATGTGTCATAATATTGCTGACAAAAAAGGTTATTTTAAGACCTCTTGGCAGTGTGATGCTTCCATTACATATACTACAGAGCACAACTGTATGCATACATATATATGTGATTGAACAGTAGCAAAAAACGCTTAGGATTCAGTATTATAACTTCAAATTTAATTCAAGCATCAAGACAAGCACTACACAAACACCTCACATTTTGATTCTTCCACTTACTGCATTTTTTCCTAACTGGATGGCAGCTTTTCTGTCACCATGTTTATCCAATAAAACATAGCTACTCCTTAAGACCAACTTGCTGTAGTACCTTAGCATTTACTATTTTCTCACTTCATTTTGGTCAAAGAAGTAGTGGTTTAAAATACTTACACATTGTTCAATTAAGAATAACCAACACCATGGGGGCGAGGGGGAGGAAGTCCTGTAAGCAAGTTAAATCTTGACTAACCTGCATTTTCAAAGAAAAATGCACAGATGCCTCCCACAAGCAAAAAATCCAGTATTGCCTGCTGGTAAACATGTTCATAAAGCACTGGTATCTTTCACACTAGAAATTACAACCCTGAAACCACTGTAAAGGGATGGGGTTTGGTTTTGCTTTTTCACGAGGATTTACAAAATAAACTGCACCTTCCAAATAACAATAAAGTCCTCTTTACCCAGATGACAGCAAAGGCGGCAAAACACCACCTCCTCGCAAGGATCTTTCCTCGCGAGCTCTTAACTAAAGCAACAGAGTCTACTCCTACATGCACCTGTAGGAAGGAGAGACTCCTAAGTGAAATTCAAAACTTGAAGATGCCTGGGTGAGGGGGGAAAAAAAAAAAATAATAAAAATGGAGGAACCGCACAATATATGTGCTGGGAATTAGGGCTGGCGGGCGGGATGACTGTGAAACGGATCTACCCAGGCAGGAGAGGAAAACAGCTCCCCAGCGATCGCTGCTCGTCAGACAGGGGAGAGCCACGGAGAGCACATCCCCTCCTGTTCTGCACGGGGGGAAACAGACAACGAGAAAGACGCGAGAGCCGCGAACATGCGTGGATGCG